GTGTATTCTAAATAAAAGTATTCTAGCAGTCTATAATTAAATACCTGATTTTCAGACTTAAGTGTTTTTGTAGCTCTAACAGTTTTTGAAATGACTTTTTTTTGTGTGTTTGTAGGGTATTTACCGAGTAAATGGAGCAAAATCAAGAGTTGAGAAGCTTTGCCAGGCATTTGAAAATGGGAAGGATTTGGTGGAACTCTCTGATCTGTATCCGCACGACATCAGCAATGTGCTAAAACTTTATCTCCGGCAGGTTTGTATTTCATTTTATCTCTTCAAACCCTTATTACCCAGGTATTTGTCAGAAGTAATTAAAATTGGGCGGCACAGTGGATAGTACTGCTGCCTTGCTGCACTGGGGCCCTGGGGTTCAATTCCGGCTTGAGCTGGGGTGCTGTCTGTTTGGAGTTTTTATGTTCTCCCTGTGTTCATGTGGGTTTTTGCTGGAAATTCCTGTCTTGTCCCACAGTACAAAAACCTTGCTGGTAAGTTAATTGGCTTCTAGCAAAAATGTGCTTGGTGTGAGTGTGTAAGTGTCTGCCCAGTGGTGGACTGGTGTCCGGTCCAAGGTATATCTCGCCTTGCACCCATTGCTTGTTGGGATAGGCTCCAGCTCCCCCGTGATCCTGAATTGGATGACGCAGTTAGGAAATGGATGGATGAGTAGCTAAAATATTTTGTTGTGCAGTGGTCTGCATATTTACTTTACTTAATGTTTTTTATGTATTTTTATTTTTAGCTTCCCGAGCCATTGATTCAGTTTCGTCTTTATAATGAATTCATCGGCTTGGCAAAAGAGAGCCAGAATGTCCTTATGGATGAAGTTGATTCTACGCCGAGTAGCCCAACAGCAGACAAACGCCCTCCAAGCATCGAGCTGAACAGAGTAATCTTCAAAATCAAAGACCTGCTCAGACAACTGCCTGCGGCCCACTATAAAACATTGCAGTACCTTATAGGACATCTCAACAGGTCAGACATTCATCTGTGCTTACTTTTCTAAACGTTTTCAAATGTATTGGACATGTATATAGTTTATATGTGGACACTGAAATGCATGAACTTCCTTACCAGAATTTCAAAATGGCTGCAGTTTTTTTCATGGTCATTTTGATGTAGAAAGTAAATATCTGCGTAAATGTAAATATTTTATTGGGGGAAAATGAAATATAATTGCATTTTTTGTTTTCTCTTTTTCATTTTGTAGAGTGACAGAGAAAGCAGAAGAAAATAAAATGACGGCCAGTAACCTGGGGATTATCTTTGGCCCCACTTTGATGAAGCCTCGACAGACAGATGCTGACGTGTCCTTGTCTTCCCTGGTTGACTATCCCTACCAGGCCCGGATAGTGGAGCTGCTCATTTTGCATTATGAGAAAGTCTTCGATGTTCCTCTGAGTCCCCTGTCCAGCTCCCCACCTGCTGTAGAGAGCTTGCCAGTGGAATTTAACCTAAATCCTGAAGAAAAAGAGGCGCAGCTTATGAGACACTCTAAGTCTTTAGTTGATATCAAAGAAGTAAGTGAGATCTTGTTACCCATATCAAGGCTTTGAAAATACATACAATAATGGGCTGATATCTGTGATATCAGTAGAGATTAATCTTTTCTCTAACTGTTTTATTTCTGCAGAGCTCTAAAGTATATAAAAGGCATTCATCTATAATTCCATCTACTCATTTGGTGGATGAGGTAAAAGATGTGAAACACAAACCTGAAGGAAGGGAATTTATGCCCGGTCAGTATTTCAGTAGTGCCTAGTTGGCGCCAAATGTCTCCACATTCATCTAGAATTCAGCTGTTTTTAAGAGTTCATGTGTACTGATTGTTTTTTTTCCCTTTCTGCTTGCAGCGATGGTTCAGATTTCGGAGAACCTCAACGGGCTTCCATCAGAATCTTGCCTTCAAGAGGGACAGAAACCTAACCTGGTGTTTAGCAGATCGAATCACGGCGCAACCAAAGTGCAAATGCGATCTCCGAGACCTAAGTTAACCGCACGGCCCATTAGCATGCCAATGGAAAGACTGTTAAACCCTTCTCAGCTCAATGAGAAGAATTCGAAAAATTTAACGGAGCAGGATCAGAGTCTCACAATAGAGGAGACTTCAGAAACGGTCAAGACTTTTTCCAGTGTGAGCACATACTGCCGGAATACTTACATTGACACTCAGTCTTTAAGGAGGACATGGGACAAGCAGTACAAACATTATGATATCACTCCCAGGACAGCTATGATTATGGCAAACATACCCCAAGAAGCTCCCAGTTCTTCTGGTAGCACTATACTCCCCAATAAGCCATACACTATTGCTGTAAGGCCAGGAAGGGCCTTAAAAAGAGATGGGAATATCTTTGATACAAATTCCACAACCTCTGCCTTCAGAGCTCCTCGAACATTGCAGCCTCCCCCTGGAACTTTTTACAAACCTCCTTCCGGAAACAAAGCTCTCCAGACTGCGGACTTGGTGCCAAATACATGCCCTGCCACAACAAACAGCACAGAGACAAGGCAGAGCCTAAAAGACTCTGCGATTGCCCCCCCAGAGTCTGAGGCTACATCCACTGTTTCCACTGCCCAGCCTCAGTCTCCCAGCTCCAGCCCTGAGAACATTGGCCAAAGTGAAGCAAAACCAGTTTATCAAAGAGTGAGGGCCAGGCGCCTGCAAGAATTTGAACACAGGGAAGCACACTTTGTATAATTCTTTATCCAATATTGCAAAGCTGCAAATATTTTTTTTTATAAATGCAATTTGTTTGTGCCATATTGTACATGAAATGGAGTACTTTTATTACCCCTTTCTGAACATTTACAAAAGCTGTGAAAAATGTACAAGTAACTGCGGAAGTGTTGTATGTATAATATATTCCTTGTTATCTTTTTGTTATGCAAGTTAGTATTGGACGGACCCATAGTGAGTCCCAAGTTATTGCCAGATGCACTTAGCTTAAAATGTGTGTATTTATTAGTTATTTAACACTTTAGTTGCTTTCTTAAAAAATGTTTTAAAAAAAACATTTTCATACAAAAATACTCTTGACTTCCATTACCAATTACCTTTTCACTGGAAACTGTAATTTGTAAATTAAACAAAATTTGTCAAAAACTAAATTTGGCTAAGATATATAATCATTTTTCACCCATTTTAAGGAAACATATAATATTCTTTCCTTCAGGTGTGTGCAATTGCTCATTACTCATCAGAATCATCATCATAAATACATTGTCGTATAAAGTTTGTTTCAAATGTTCATGTGCCAAGGTTGGTTAATTTTTTATATCTATGTATGAAATGTCACTTTAACATCACATATATGATGCACTTATTCACATTTAAATGGACCTTTAAGATTTGCCAGTACCTATACAATTTCACACAGTTTGATTATAAGGGAGTAGTATTCCTGTGACTGACCTTGGAAAGCAGCAAGGCCTCAAGTCTCCATATTATTTCAGTTTGAATATTATTTTAATTCTGGTTAGCATGCATGCAAACATTTTAAAAACTGGGCCACAGTAAGTATATCAGATTTATATTAACTTTATCTGTAAACATTTTATGAGTATTACGTGTGAGGAGTTTCTGTTGCAAAATTAAATGTATTAACATTATTTTCACAAACTATCCCTAAGAACATACACGTCTTTTGTAAGTTATTAAAATTTAGATGGAAACTCACAAAAGAATAAAAGGTGTAATGTCAATTATTTTTTGTTATGATTGCAATGTACTGTAAAATAACCAGGTAGGAAGATTTTACAAAGTTAAGTTTTCATTTTTGAATCTTAAATTTTAAAAAGAAATGGGGCTTATCACAATTTGCCACTAACACTGGAATTCAAGAGTTAAAAAACAAAACTATAAATAATGGTATTTTCAGACCTACACAATAGTTGTTTATTCTTTCAATAAAAAAAAAACATTGAAATGATATTGCTTTTAGCATAAACAACTGAGAGAAATCAAGATAAAAAACATTGCAACTTCCCAATAGTTTATTAGTGACCGGTATAATTGACAAGCATTTTTAATGACGATATTGCACATTGTAATGAATTTATGTATTTATTTACTATTTGGACTTTAAGTTCAATTTTTTTTCAATTCAGATTTATACTGGCCTTCTGTAACATACTGACACATTTTGTTCTACCCATAGAAGTAGAAGTAGTTAGAAGTAGAACTAGAAGTAGTTAATTACTAGATATTAGAGAGATGTATGAGGCATTTATGTACAGACAGTTCTATAGGGTTAAATCTACCATATTATATATGAAGCACTTATTATACACTTTCATGGTAATGCAATTCACTAATTTAAATCACACCTAACTAACCATCAATATATATCCTCAGGAGATGTACAGTAAATATAAACCAGCATTTACTACAATCTTTGCCTTTGGAGGAAACAAAAAGAACTATTATCTTTGATCTTCAATGGCAAGTGGTGACCGCATGACCACACTTTGGAAGAATTTCTCCTTCGTTAATATTTGCCTGTGAGTGTTTGGAAGACACTTCAAAAACTGCTTTGTAATGCTTGTGTTTGTAACAATAAGACAACATGGGAAAATGCCAAGAAAAGCTGCCTTTTGATTTAAGACATGGATATATTACAGAACAAAGCAAGAAGTGGGTTATAGTGGTAACATTTATCACTGTCAAAAGAATAGTACAAAAATCATTACGTGAAAAAAAGAAAGGAACATATCTTGTACAAGTTAATTTTGTATTGAAGTTTTTAATTAAAATCTTTCTATGAAAGGGATAAGGAATGGGCTGCTTATTTAATCTTTTGAACTTTGTAAGGCTCTTTTTTTTAGAATGTAGTTTATCGTCATTGTATAAGTGTCATACAGAACAGTTTAAATCATAAAAATACTGTGTCCTTTTTTTAAACTTATGGTCACCTGTTAATTTTGTTTGGGGGGGAAAAAGCACAATGACTGCTTTGGCCCCAATGCAGTGTTTGAAATCTCATTTCTAAGATAAAGGTAACAAATTAAACTTATTTTGGTAGTGGATTTATTATATTATTACTATGAGTGTTGGTTGTTGTTTGTAACTTTTGAGTGAATGTGGTCATTGGTATCACAATCTTTTAATATTTGTTACATTAGTTTTGAATCTAAGCAGGGTTTGAGAATACATGTCTAAAATGTCTTACTTGTAAAATGTTCCCTTCACTTTTAGTTTTGTATTAACACCGTAAAATAATACTTCTATAGAAAGACCAACATGTGTATCCCACCTGAACTTCTTTAACATAAAAACAAGCTGTATGCTCTTTATTATAGATGCCTTTATCTGTCTGCACTGCACCAGATTTGAGTGATTATATTCTGCACAGCCAAGATGTTTACAGCTACCTATCCTAATTAGTTATGTCACTTGTCCAAGCTCTGCGAGGTGTTTAATAAGGATTCAGACCTCCAGGTCTTTAGAGAATAGAGGAGAAATAAAACAACTTGAAAAACCCCAAAGCTACCCACACCGGACTACTCAAAAAGTTTCCATTTTCAGTTACAGTTTTGCATTTTATTATGCCATGTGATCATTCAACAAAATAGATTCTTGTTTTTCAAAGAGCTTGTCCATGTTGTAAAAGGAGATTAAAGCAATCTGATTACAAGTGCAAGCTAGTGTTGAGGGAAGCGGCTGTGTTTGCAACAGCATGTAGCCCTTGGCCAGGCACCTCAAACCTCAGGCCAGGGAATCTTCTATTT